AAATTATCCCAATTTTTTATATTTTATAAAAAAATATCTATTATTTATTAATTCCAACTAATATTTGTAACTATCTCCTTCGGAAAAAAAAAAGAGTTCTAATTTGAGTGATAAAATTGGAGAAAAAAACAATTTGTGTTTAATGGGATATAATTATAATTGAATCAGTAGCAAAATTGAGTATGCGATTAATATATTATTTTGCATATATTGTTAATTTGTTATCGATTATATCATAATGTTATTTTAAAGGGGACATATTCATACAAAACGATAATATAAATATATGTGTTTTCAAAAATAATTTGTAAAACTCATGAATATAAATCATATTTTTTAAAAATAGTCAAATATTGTTGAAAAATTTTGAGGCCAAACACACGTTAAATCTTCATTAAAATTTTTACTTAAACATAATTTGCGAATAGTATTTGAGAACTTGGGACCACGTACTAGCTTAATATTTGGAAATTTTTGAAGATTAAGAAATTACCCAAAAATTTTAAATTTAATAAAAAAAACACACCATCATTTGTGAGTTGGAAATCAAAATAAGCCACAAAAATATAAAAGTAACCAAAATAAGCCACTATTTTAGTAAGTAACTAAAATAAGCTTAGTGGAAGAAAAAGTTCCACTATATCCAATAATTTAAACGTTTTCCGTTAAATTCATAACGTTTATTTTTAATATATAACGGAACTTTTTCTTACACTTTATAAAGTGGAGTTTCTTCTTCCACTTTATAAAGTGGAACTTTTTCTTCCACTTTATAAAGTGAAACTTTTTATTACACTTTATAAGAAGAATATTTTTCACGTCGTGAAGAAGCTTTTTCAGTGTTGTCATATAAATTATATTGATTTGATATGTCATTAAAATGGAAAAAAATATTTCATTATGTGTTTTTGTTATTTTATTCTGAAAAATCTATTTAAGGACGTTTATACGTAGTTGATAGCACCTACAACATAAAGTCTTCTATGTTTGTTTATTTCAATCTAAAAAGAATATCTTTTACACCTAAAGTTAATGTTTCAATTTATTGGGATGGCGAAATTATACATGACGGAAATATCATTTATTATAATTGTCCTCCCAAACACAATGCTAAATATCCAATAAATGTCCGATATCATAAATTTATTTCATCAATTTATAAAAAGAATGGGTATAAACAGTACAATTATAATTTGATTATAGCCGGAGAATATCCTACTTCATTTTTATCACAAGGTTTAGTAAATTTTGGAGAGTGAATTATCTATAATGACGAATCATTGACCGACTTTTTAAGGGTTCCAAATGACTATATAGATCAAATCAAGTCAACAATACTTGGAATCTATGTTAGGAAGGAGCCTAAGATTAGTCAACAACGTTCTCCTTTATCAGTCGATGTTCATCTCTAATTAGAAAATCATAATAGCATTGATGGATTTCCGATAACTCAATATACTGATTTTCCTAAAATGACTCATTATCAAAATACTCTTACCGGCCGATATAATTTTGATTTAAACAAAACTATCAATGATAGTGATCGGTAATGCTCAATTATTATATTTCAATTATTGTTTGTTGATTTTGTCAATTACTTATTAATTTATATTATTTATTATTTTTATTATTATATATTTTGTAGAGGTTTAACTCAGCAAGATAGGGATATTGCTCCAAGTTATGGACAAAATAATTATTTTGGTCAGTCCTCACACTTTGAAATGACGGAAAATATTGGGACATCCTCAAATTTTCATGTCTCGCCTACTTTTGATGCAAATGATTATCGCTATGTCTAGCACTTATTTTTTTATTTGAGTAAGTTAATTGCATGAACCAAATATTTATATATTCTTTACATATATAGGGAAAATACTACACGAGATTAGCCCATTGATATTGTGAATATCGATGATCGTGACCTTCCTAATTACGGCTCACCTTCAGCTAGGGATAATGATGATTTGCCTAATGCTGTGGAATCAAGAGATAATGTTTCATTTGAGGCATCATCTAGTGATGATGATTTTTTGACTCCCAATTGATCGCCAAGACCAATGTCCATGAGTCCGTTTCGTAATCATGAAATTCCTATATTGATCATCTCTCGGATGGTCCAGATATCTTTGGTGATACACATGATGAATATACATCACAACGTACGTGGCATGAATCAGAAGATTTCATGAATGATGCTATTTATATGAAAAAAGACATGTTATTCAATTCAAAGAAGCAGCTGCAAAGAGCAGTTAAACTTCTACATTTGAACATAGCAAGGGAGTGCTTTGTTATTAAATCAACAAAGATATCATGGCGGCGACTTGTTTGCAGGCGTGTAGAACAAGGATGTCGATTTAGATTGACTTCTTTTATTGATTAACATACTAACATGTGGAAAGTTGAAAGACACATTAAAGAACATACATGTGATATGGGTACGTGCCGCGAAGGGTATTTCAACTTGGATGTTGAGATGATTGCTAACGTCCTCCGTGTTGATATAGAAAGAACGCCAAGGTAGAATTTTATCCCTAGATGATTTTTATTTAATAAGGAAATATTCATTTTTATTTGATAATTAATATTATTATTAATTTCAGGTTTCCCATCAAAGATTGTCAAACAGTTCTTCTTAAAGGATATGACACTTCAGTAACTAAAAGAAAAACCTATCTTGATCGAAAACAGGCTTTTGAAAAAGTCTATGGTACTTGGGAGTGTTCTTTTGCCGAGTTGTTGAGGTTCATGGAAGCTTTGAAACACTTCAATCCTGGAACAGTAGTCAATTGCATGTTGATAGTCAAGACACATATTGGTGCAGAAATAGTCAAACAATAACATCCACCATGTGGGAAAATTATGAAAGATTTGTTGATATTTTTTCGAAAAAAATAATCAGAAAATGTTTCAACTTAAAGCTAGACAAAAAGATGAATTTTTGTGTACTTTATGACATAGATACTTTTATTTTGTCTTATATTTTACGATATTCTGCCTCTAAATTTTATTTTATTTTATTTTATTTTCATATGATTTTGAAGTAGTGTTACTATTGAAACTTTTATAAAACGTGTAAACCTAAAGTTTTCTATCAATGAATTTAGATGTCTTCCTAACCAAAACTAAATTAAGTCTAAGGTTGAAAGTAAATCAAATCAAAATCACATTCTAAAAAAGATAAAAATTCCCTACAAGTACAAGACTGCAATCTTATCTATTTTTGCACCTAAAGCAACGAATATGAGTTGTATGTTGTCGGGTTGTGCTACTCCAAAATTTCGATTTGTTTAGTGGGCCGCTTCAAACTGTCGGATTAGGACCATCTTCAAAGTAAATTTTTTTTTGGAAGCCATGAAAAGAAAAAGGAGAGAAGGTGAAGGTGAAGATGAAAAGGTAACTTTTTATAAAGTGGAAGATTTTCTTCCACTGTATAAAGTGGAATAAAAAGTTTCACTTTATAAAGTGGAAGAAAAAGTTCCATTATATATTAAAAATAAACTTTATGACAGTAACGGAAAACGTTTAGAAAATTGAATATAGTGAAATTTTTTCTTCCACTAAGCTTATTTTAGTTACTTACTAAAATAGTGGCTTATTTTAGTTACTTTTATATTTTTGTGGTTTATTTTGTTTCCTAACTCACCATTTGTTAATTCCAACTAATATAGTTCAACCAAATTAATCTATTAAGAATCAATAATTATCCACTCTGCCATCTATACAGATTGTGACAAAAAAGAACAAATATATTTCTAATGAGTTATAGTTAATCATTGACAAGTTTAAAGATGTGATTAATATATTGCTCTTGTAAAAATCGTTATTTTGTTATAATTAATTGTTATCAATTATTTTATACGATTATTTTTAATATATCGTGTTTATTACTAAATGACTATTGAAATTTAACAGAATAAGTTCATTATAATTATTTTGTTATAATTGATTGTTATCAATTATGTTATTAAATTATTTTTAACAGGTCGTGTTTATTACTAAATGACGCTTCAAATTTACGGAATAAGTTCATTATAATTATGTTATTTTTTAAAAGTCAAATATCTCTCCTAAAATTATGACCAAACATACCATAAATCTTCTGAAAAATTATAATTATGTGACATTAATGACTGATTTGACAACTTATCAACTGAGAGGAAAATCATAAACTTGTCTGTTCCATATTAAAAGTACGTTGATTTTGGATTTAATAATTTAGACTTATTAATGGGGATATTTTTGAGATATTTTAAAATTTTATTTTATTTTTTAAAATTTCGTTGCAAATCAAAATAATTTATATAAGCTAGAATCAAAAAAGTAATTCACAATAAATTTAGGAATGTTTTCCAAAACTTATCTCTAAAACTATTTTTTAATAGAAGCAAAAGAGCTATTTTGCAATTGAGAATATGCTAATAAGAAGCAAAACATAACCAAAAACAGAAAATTATCTTTCCTCAGACAAAAGTACACCTACCATTTAAATACATTTACCGGCATATGCCTTGTTAGTTTGTTAATATATCTTATAAATTTAGTTAAGTTTCATTTCAAAATTTTAATCTTGAAGTTCACATACCAAAATTATTTATTTTACATTTATATATTATTATTTATATTTTAATTTGTGGAATATTTTTTAAATTTATTTGACTCAATGATTTTAATTACATTCAAATCATTATGATAATATTATCAACTTTTAATATTTTCGTTGATTTATCTATATACAATGTTGATAGAAAATATACACTATGTGATTTAAAAAATAGATATTTAAAATAATTTATATCTATGAAATAATTTTAATATTAAAAAAATTGCAAACTGTTTTTTTTTGTAATTTGTATGTATACATAAAGAATTAACCAAAGACAAATTGTTAATTTGTTAAAAATGATATTCTAATAAAAGTACTTTTAAAAATAAATAATTTTTAGCATCTTTGGGCCGAAATAAAAAGAGGAACTCTTACGAAATAAATATGATAATTGCAAAGTTGAAGATGGTTTGACTAGAGTCCTATACTTAAGTGTTTAGTTTCTCCATTTCAGCCACTCTTGAAGCAAAAAGTTACATTTTCTAACAAATATCCAACCAATCCCTTGTATTCTAGGAAATTGAAACACCAATATTACAAGCATCTCTAAATTAAGCAGCTGCAGCAAGTCTTGAAACATTGATTTTATCATATCCTATCCTTCCTACATCCCTTTCTGATTCATTCATTTCTTTTCATCTGCTTTATTTGCAGATCTGAATACATACCCAACTGAATACTTGTCAAAAAGATCCACCTCAATGTCCTCATCTGTTTCAACAACGAGTGTTCATGTTACTGCCTTGGATGGTCTAGTTAATGTGAATTCACTTTTCACCATTGCAGTCTTTGTGGGTCTCTCTTTAACAACACCTGGACAGAAAAGTCTGGAGGATCGCACAGCTTGTGATGCTGGGATTGATATAGTTAAGAAGTTGTTGGTTTTTGAGGTCGTTTCATTCAGCTTCTTTCTCTTTTCCTCACTTGTTGCACAGGGTCTCAAATTGGCAATTAATTTGTTGAATAGCAAAGATGTTGATGAGGCTTTTAGGGCTCACATCAATTTGAAGGTGCTCAGGCTTGGAATGATGGCATCTGCTATTGGATCCGTAATGGGCTGTTTATTCTTGATGCTTTCAATTGTCAATGTCATTCAGATTCGACTCGGGGTCTTATCTTGTGGAAGTAAATCTGCTATTCATGCTGTCTCCACCTTGCTCGTTTTGGTCACGTCTGCCCTTGTTGTTTATATTTCTACCGCTATATATGCATTTCTGCACTAAAGTCAATTTTTGGATTTTGTTCAATCTATAAAAACTATGTCATGCTTTGAATATAGAGATCATTTAGGTCATTACTGTTTGAATTCAAAATCAATTCCATTATGCCACCTAGTCCATTTCCTTCATACTCAACCATATGTATCATTGTGACCATAGTTTCATCTGTCACCAGCTATGTGTAGGATAAATCTTACTTTTCAGCTGAGTCATTTCTACAACCCCTCATTTGTAAAGCATTTTTCTATCTCTAAGCAAATGTATAAATGGGCATTTGCACAACACTTTTTAATGTTTAATATATGCTATTTATGCTCAAGATACTAACTTGATTGGGTTCTATATGAGCTCGTTGTTGCATAGTCTTTATAGCTTATGATTCTGTTTTTTTGTAAAATTTGCTGTATACAGTATACATTGCTCCTGTAAGAAGTTGACTTGATTTGCTAGTCGACTAGCAGGTAGGCAATTTCTCTGTATCCAAATTGAGGGAACATCAAGAGTATAGTAAGTTGACATATATCCTCTATGTGTACCTACCTAGTGGAACTTGTACCAAAACTTGTGCTCAACATTGTTAATTGAATGAAGCTTCTAGTTTTTCCATAATTATCGTATCTGAATTGATCATCAACTGTATATATTGGACAATCATGCTTTTAGGTGAGACAAATGAACTAGCTTTTAATAAATTGCTATTCAATAGGAAACTGATTAGCTAATTTGAGGTGTGGTTGTTAAGGAAGTTCTCTCAAGTATGATGAAAAACTTAAATCCTATACTGGTTATTTCATGAAACTTTTGCAGTGTATGATATATTGTCTTTCACCTAATCAAGCATTCAGAGATTCACCTATAGCTGTATATTCATACATATGAACTTATTCAAGTTTCCTCATTTAACTAGTTCATATTCAATTCTCAACTTGACATATATATATATATATATTTGAAAAAATAGATTTAGTGATGTGCGGCTCAAAACTTCTTTCCATCCATCTCTTATTAATAACCCCTCCCCCTCATGTTGAACGTTTTGCAGACTGGAATGATAGAAAATCCCTTTGAACTAGAGCTCATAATGTCTTTGTCAAGGTAGAAAGTCATATGCAATTAAAAGTTGGTCATCATGGTTCAACTGACATATGGAACCTCCACCAACTACTAATCGACAACTTAAGCAGGGGTTTTTCAAGAAAACACATGATATTCTTCTTTATTCTAATTAAGTTTTAGCTTATCAGCTTTTTCGACCATACTCCTATTTCTCCTTTTCCAGCAGAGATGTCTTTAAATGGTCAGGATTATGTAATTTTCTCAAAAAATATATCATAAGTTCATCCATAAGGAACTAGAGATATCCCTAGTTAAAGGTTTTGCTTATGCTAGCCTTAATTTGGTATATTGTTGCTTCCTAATGCAGGGTAAGAATAGAGAAGCGTGTAAGTCGTTTTAATTGTTGAATGCTTTAGAGCTATCTAGAGAATTGTTATTTAGTTTCTAGAGTGAATGTTGAGCCTGTGATGGATGATGAAAAGGTTAAATAGGATCATACTTTACAAGGTGAAATATTTGTCTTTTTTAGGGGATACTTAGGAAGTGACCAATGATGATCCTATCCATTTACCTTGTGGAGGTTGATGGAGAGTGAAGTTGTTTACAAAGCATTAGTTGGGGGTCATTTAACACTTGTAAAAGCTTGTCGTGAGGTATTACGACAAATAAAACTTAAAAGGGAGTTGTATGAGTAGTAAAGTCACTTGTCTTCTGGTGATGCACGCCTGAAACTTATGACGAGCTTCCTAGACATGCTTCTTTCTCCCCTCCACTTTTTCTGAAACTGGAATGAGCAATTATTTTCTGGAGATACTTGAAGCCTTGTTTTGAAGCTTAACATGTATTATTATTCAGTTATAAAGCCTTGGCTGCCTCTAAGCAACTGAACTTGCATCATAGCAAGCTTTACCCAACCTATCATAGAATATGGAGCTGATATACCTTTCGTTATGAAAAATGCTAATATATGCCCTTATCGTTATTAAACTTGCTCACATATACTCCTGCCGTTACAAAATGAGCTCATATATACCCTTCTTTTAACGAAAATTAAGAAATTAGTTTTAAATTAATATTTTTTACTTTTATTTTTAAAAAATTATTTAGGGGTATATATAATTCTTCTATCAAAGTTCAAGGTATATTTTAATTTTTTTCATAAAAAATTATTTTTTGACTTCTTTTATTATAGTTATTTGAGTTTCTTGTTCTTATTTTATTATTTTTTTTCTTTTATTCCTTAGTTTAAAGGGAAAAAAATTAAACTATTTTTTTTTGTCTATATTGTAGTTTGATTTTTGTATTTGAAGAAAATAATTTGGTCATCTACAATAAGTTTTACAAGAATATTAGTGAAACATAAATAAATTTGATTATCAAAATAATAATTCTAAATTAGTCATCAAAACAGAAAAAAAAAATTTGACGAGAATTAAATTTACTCATATTGGATTATATTTTTTAGAAAAAAATAAAAATTAGATAAATTTTCGTAACGACCTGTTAGTCGTTTTGAGCAGTAGAGTTTATTTCTGGTAATAACTGTCTGGGTCGACGGATCCCACGACGGACCGTCATGGGCACGACGGACCGTCGAGGGGGTCTCGTTCCAAAACACTTACTCTGGAAATTTGGGTACTGAGAACAACTCTCTGAACTTCGCGACGACATGGCAGGACGGGTCGTCGTAGGCACGACGGACCGTCACAGAGTCTTTAAGGAATTCGACTCTCTGAACTTTGTGACGGAAGCAGTAGGACGGACCGTCGCAGGCACGACGGGCCGTCACTGGCTGCGTAAACCTGACTGGGTCGGATTTCTGTTAAAAGTTTTAAGGGGCGTTTTGGACTATTCATGCTTATAATTATAAAGTTAGTGGCTTAATGTTAATAATTCAATTACTTAGGGGTTAAAGGAGATAACCTTGGAATAAATAGTGGGTTACTTTTAGCATCTTTTATACTTAATTATATGGTAATTAGGGTAAAACAAAGGGATTTTGAAAGAGGAGAAATTAAAAAGAAAAAGAAGGGAGAACGAGCGAGAGGGAGAGAAGAACGAAGAGGAAAGCAAAGCATTGGAGAAGTAGATTGCTTGATCACGATTCTTCGGTGGAGGTAGGTTATGGTTTATGCTATTTCATAGTAAACTCTTAATAGCGAATGATATGTATTGGGTAGTATTGTAAAGTCTTCTAAATGCTTAATTGTATGCTTGCATGATGTGATTATGTAATTGTAATAGGTTGAAAAGATGAGGTTGTGAAGCTTAAACCTAAAACCCTCTCTGTTAATGATGATGCCTTGGTATAAAAGAAGGCTTGATGAACTAAAAGAATGAGGTTAGTGGATCGGGTGTCACGTTCCGACACCAGGATAAAAGTAGTGGATCGGGTGTCACGTTCCGACACTAGGATAATAGTAGTGGATCGGCTGTCACGTTCCGACACTAGGATAGTAGTAATGGATCGGGTGTCACGTTCCGACACTAGGATAGTAGTAATGGATCGGGTGTCACGTTTCGACACCAGGATAGTAGTAGTGGATCGGGTGTCACGTTCCGACACCAGGATAGTAATAGAGGATCGGAGTGTCACGTTCCGACACCAGGATAGTAAAAAGAATGAATCTTGAATTATGTTAATATACTCAAATTTAAAGAACCTATTTCCCAAACGAGTATGGTGTGGAGGCGTGAGTCCTCATAGATGTGCTTGGGTTGTGACCAATGGTTATGGTACTTGTTGTTGTTATCTGTTGAGTATTGTAGTTGATTTTATGATATTATTTGATATATATTGCTTTCTATTTTGAGTTGGCCGATGATACCTACTCAGTACTTGTGCCTTGTACTGACCCCTACTTGTATGTTTTTTTCTTTGTTATTTGTGGAGTGCAGCAAACGTGCCATCGATTTCGACTCAACCGCAACTCTAGCCAAACTTCAGCAAAATCAGACTTCAGGGTGAGCTATTATTCCTAGCTCGGACTGGATTCTTCCCTTCGCGTCTTGATGTCTTGAAGTTCGGACATAGACCATCTCTTTTACTTATTTTAGCTTCTTAGATACTCTTAGATTAGTAATTTGAGGATAGATGTTCTTATGATGATGACTTCCTGGTTTTGGGGATAGTAATTGATAAACTTTAGAAGTTATTTAATTGATTTCGTTAATGAGTTTTAAGTCTTCCGCATTATTTTCTGTTTATTATGGTTGAAATGTTGGGGTTTAGATTGGTTGGTTCGCTCACATAGGAGGGTAAGTGTGGGTGCCACTCGCGGCTCGTTTTGGGTCGTGATAATTTTTTTTCATTTCCGTTAGCGGAAAAGAGTATATATGAGTCATTTGTTTATAAGTAGGGGTATATATGAATCACTTTCATAACAAAGAGTATATCAATTCTAAATGACAAAAATGAAGAATATCAGACCATTTTCCACAGAATATTCAAATCTAAAAGTAATTGGTCTCTCTAGAGGCAGACTAAAATGTCTCATTTGTCTGCATCTCCTCTTTGAGATTAGTAAAGAGAGGTCTCTTTCCTTCCATTTATCTTTTATTATACTGTTCTTGAAATATATGTTGCACGTTTGTCTTAAAATACTTGATATATGTTTTAATTGCAAATGATATTTTATGCCCTTCAAATCTATTGATATTTAGTACAAAAAAATTCATCATTTCAAAAAGAGAAAATGATCTAAAAAATCCCTAATATTCGAAGTCTCAATTACACATTTATTCATTACGAAGGTCCCATTACCCTCTTATACTATTTTAAAGTAGAACTATTTGCTCCCTGAATGATGATGTGGCAAGGAAAGTGAAGTTTACTCTCTCAAAGAGAGTGAGAGGTAAAAATAATAATTAAAACTTTAGATTTTTAAAATATTTTTTAAATTTTATATAATAATTATTTTATTCTACAAAAAAAATTATGTTTCTTTTAAAAAAAATTATTTTTATGGTCTTTCTTCTTCTATTCACCAAAGCTACATCGGCGGCAGCTCTGCTCCATCACCAGGTCGCCGCCCTCACCGAGCTCTAATCATTAAGTTAATTTCATAGAGTTTACTGTCTTTTTCAAATCACAAATTTCTCATAGTTAGTGTAAAAAATTGACAAGAACTCAATATCGAAATCGAAAGTCAAAAGGATCGAACTATAAAGTTATAATGGAGAAAAATTAATTAAGTTATAGATCCATCAATGGAGAAGAACTCATCAACGAAATCATTAGGTAACAAACCCATTTATAAAAAAGACCCAATAATCGAAATGGGTTGCTCAACATTGTTAAATTCTAGCTTCAATACAGATCATCAAAATTTTGCTAGTGTTCATAATTCCAATGAAGCTCGAAGAAGATGATGCTAGTCATATAAAATATTCCCAAATCTGAAAAAATTGTTGTCAAGATTAAAGAAAAAGAGGAATGGAAAAGGAAAGTGAATCAAAGAAGGAGAGGAATGAAAACAGGAAAGTGAAAGAGAAAGATGGAAATACAGATGAAAAAATATTGCAGAATAAATTTTTTTTGGAAAATAATGGTTAGATTACGTGGCAGAGCGCGTGCAATTCACTATTTCATATAAATCTGGTTATGTGTTTTTAAGGGACTATATATTATACTTTAAAAATATTCAGGGGGGAGGGGGGTAATAGAACTCCCGTAATGAATAAGTGTGTAGTTGAAATATCGAGTATAGATTAGGAGGATTCTAGACCATTTTCTCAATAGAAAGTCCATGTATTTTTAATTTCCCTTACAAAAAGAATATATTCTTAATTATAAATTGACTAAAAGTTGCATAATGTAAAAATAACTTATTTTTATACAAATTTAATATTCAAATGAGGATTCTAAAATACCACATGCTAGATAAACGTATTCTAAACTACAAATCACCGCAAATTTTCAATAATAATAACAACAAAATAATTAGAAAGTTATACAATACCAACAATCATTAACATTAAGCAAAATAAATAAAGAGACAAGAGGAGAACATAGAGAACAAAGCATAGACATTTTCTGGTGTTTTTTTTAATGGTTTTAAGTGTGTAATATTATGTCAAATATCACTTTTTATAATTTTATAGGATAAAATTAACGAACACATAAAGTTATCAGTGATATGACATTGACCCATTTGAGATCATAGATTAAAAGCGAGAGTAAAAATGATTATGAATATAATTAATGGAAGTTACATATATTTATATCATGAAGAGTTAGTGATTAAATTTATGTAACTTCACATTAATATAAATCTTAATCTATATAT